CACCTTAAGGAAATACCGGGCGCGCGCGAAGGGCCCCGAAAGAGCGAATACCCCCTCCCCCTCCTCCCTGGTCTCTGTTTATCGCCAACTCTACGGCTCCACTCTGGGTGGGTGGCCAAGAAAACCCCGGCACTGCGCGTGCGTCTCCGGGGGCTCCAGCCACAGAGAAACAGCCAATCCGGAGGCTGCTTCTGGTCAGGTGACACATTCGCCACGCCCTAAGGAAGCCACCCGGAGAAGACCAGAGCAACGCAGTCGGTGGAGCGTCCGTACGGTGGCTCGGTAGGTCCAGTTGGGTTCGTAGCTTTGAAAGGACTGCACTGAGTTTTTGCTTGCCCTGAACTGCATGAAGCGGGACTGGTCCTCTCTAATGACAGCTTGGGAAAGTACCCGGGATCGGCGCGCTGGTGTCAAGTCAGGGCCGTTAAGCAGTTGAATACTACAAAGCATCACCAACCACCAAGAATTCTTTCCCAGCCTTTTACCGTTTTGTTTAAGGTACGTGCATGTCTTACCTTCCTTTGCAAGACATGAACATAGATCTGTATGCGTCAAACAATGCTTATTACAATGATGGAGTTCAGTAAATGCAAATATTTGGTAAACGAATCAATGAGGACTTATCAACAAAATAACAACAAAGTAAGAAAAATACATAAAATTTAAAAGACCTTGTCAAAAGGACTGCGGAATGTGATGAGACCATATGAACACAATCTTCCCGGCAAGCCAAAGCCCTTATGTCCCAAAGGTTAATTACCTATGTTCCAAAGGGCGCAGAAAAGCGGAGAAATCCCGTTCTAGTCTAGCCTTCATATTTCAATCTTAATTTTAACAAAGAACTTTGATGATTGTGAACACTGTGAGAACACTTGTGAAGACCTGATTTCTCTGAACAACTAAGCTTCTGAAGAGCAAGGACTAGTATTTCGTCAAGCTCCTGTCACAACTTTGTACGGAATAAGGTGCTCAATAATCATTTGTGAAATAAAGAGAAATGGGGGAAAATCCTTAGCTTATTGCTAAGGTGGCCTAGTTACCTTCTATCCAGATGTTTTTTGGGTCCTCCAAAAGTTTAGGACCAGAACATCCACTCGTTAACTTCAGCTTTCTTCCTCTCCCTCAAGACCTGAAATATGTTTCCTTGCTGCCACCTGCTGGACTGCTTGTCCTCTCTTGGGTACTGAAGGTAGACAAACCAATTGAGTGGATTAACATTCCCAATTCCACAGCAAGATGACTATGCAATTCTGAAGTATTTTATGTTAGCCTAGCCCTGTAACCTTCACCCAACTAAACAGCACAGGAACTAGACATCCTGAGGCACAGGACCTGGCTCACAGGTACTCAGTAAATATTGTTGAATGAATTTTGTTTCCATAAAAGGCATTCGGTTGCTGGGGGGTTTTAAGGAAGCTAAATGAATGATTAAAGGCACCTACTGTCAAGCATAATGAGATAAATCCCTGGGACCCACGTGGTGGGAGGAGAGGACTGATTCCTGAAAGTTGTCCTCTGACCTCCACATGCAGGTGTGCACACAATAAATAAATAAGAATGCAATGAATTTTTTTGAAGATTCAGTTGCTACAATTTCCGGAGTTATTCTAATAGGCAAAAAAATGAATGACTAAGGTAGTTAAATAGGGAATTTTATCCCTGTGATTTTTATTTCAGACTTGAAAGTCCATTTTGTAGCTTCTAAAGACTCTTTGTTTTTACCTTAGATAACAAAAAGTGGCCATTATTATATTCCCCAGCTTGTTTTATGTTATCTGCTTACCTGTTTCCCTCTAAGACTATACTCTGTAGAGCAAAGGTTACCATCTTACTTGTTTTACTATCTCAAGCCTGTAAATTATACCTGGCACACAGTAAGTTTACAAACTGTGTCCTAAATATATGAATGAATCAAGGCAAATTTTAAAAGTAAAATTAGGCCAGGCGTGGTGAATCAAGGCAAATTTTAAAAGTAAAATTAGGCCAGGCGTGGTGGCACATGCCTTTAATCCCAGCACTTGGGAGGCAGAGGCAGGTGATCTCTGTGAATTCAAGGCCAGCCTGGTCTATAAGTGAGTTCCAGACCAGCTGGAGCTACAGGGGGACCCTGTCTCAAAAAGACAAAAAAAATATATAAAATTAAAAATTGAGTGTTGGTGATACATGCCTGAGGTTCCAGCTACTCTGGAGGTTAAGGGAAAAAAAATCACATTTTCCAGGACATCCTGTGCAACAAGCAAAATAGCATGTCCCTGTCTCGAAAATAAGAAAAACAAAAGGAGAACTAGGAATATTTAAGAAGTGGGTATCATTTTACCACCAAATCTTGTCTTTACCTACCTCCCACTCAATCCCTGAGGTGTCCTCTGAGCCATGGAGCCACTCTTACCTAGTGACATTCCTGGCATAGCAGAACTTCGGTGATGTGGCAGGGTGTGGAAACAGGGGCAGAACAGAATGTGTTGGCTTGGTGCTCCCAAGGAAATGTAAAAGGGAGTTCACCAATACATACTTTGGGGAGAGAGGCAATCTGATGACCTCAAAGTAAGGCCACACATCTGAATGCATGTGAGTGCACTTTATTAAAGCATCTTTGAGGGCCAGGGATGTAACTCAGTGTCAAGAAAGCTTGCCCATCTCATACAAAGCCCTAGATTCAATCCCTGGCAGTAGAAAACAAAACAAAACAAAACCCAAACAAGAGAATGTGAGGATGTGCAAGTTATTCATTCAGTTATTCATTCATTAATTCATCATTTCATCCAATTAATATTACTTAGCCCCAGACCTAACCCAGGCACTCAGAATTCCAAGTATACAGTGATAATGATAAAAATCCCTGCCCTCATTTGGGATGTACCTCAGTAGTAGAGTATTTCCCTAGCATTCCTGAAGCTTTGGGGGTCAATGCCCAGTAGGGCAGAAAAAACAAAAACAAAAGCACCAAAAACAGGGGCTGAAGGGATGGTTTAGCTGTTAAGAACACTGACTGCTCTTTCAAAGGACCTGAGTTCAATTCCCAGCACCCACATGGTAGCTAACAACTATCTGGCTCCAGTTCCAGGGGACCCAACACCCTCTTCTGATCTCTGCAGGCATTGCATGCATGTGATGCAGGGAAAACAGTCATACACATAAAATAAAAATAATAAATAAAATATTTTTTAAAAGCACCAGAAACAAAACAAAACAAGCCCTTCCTTCAACCAGGCACAGTAGCATGCAGCACTGAAGGACTATGCAGAAGGGTTGAGAGTTCAAAGCAAGCCTGGTTACTATCAAGTTCCAGGTCAGTTTGTACTACATAATGAGACCCTGTCTCAAAAAACAAAACCAGGGGCAATGAGATGGCATAGCAGGTAGGGATCATTGTCATCAACCCTGAATACCTGAGTTTGATCCTCTCCCTGAGTCACACATGATGGAATAAGAGAGCACACTCCCCCAAGTTGTCCACTGACCTCCACACAAGTACAGTGGCACAAGCACCCACACATATGTATGCAAACACACAAAAACAAATGTAATAAAATATGTTTTAAAAGGCAAGGGTGGTAGCACACACCTATAATCTCACCACTTAAGAGTAGAAGTAGAAGGATCAGTAGTAGTTCAAGGCCAGCCTCAGCTATTTGGGGATTTGCAGGGCAACCTGGGCTACATGAGACCTTATCTCAAGAAAATAAAATGAAAGGTCGTAAACTAATAGGGACAGACACATAGATCACTAGAATAAAATTAATAGGTATCATAGAATATGCACGTGATATAGTTTCACTACTACATTTTCAGAACAAAATATGAGAATGAAAGTTGGCATAGTCTTGACAGTAACACAGACTATTTGAATTGGAATTATTTCAGAGATTCTGCGAGACATGATACCCATAAATATGGATGTTGTGTCTGGAAAGAGAAGAATGGGTATTTGGGAAGGCTTCACTGTCCTATAAAATTAGAATTTTGTCAGGTAGAAAGACATGCTAAGGAGAAGGAAAAACCTGGAAGCATGACAAGATAATTGGGTGGTAGAAGAGTGACACCAAAAAAGGATGATGTGGCAGGAGGTGAGGCTAGAGACAGGGAGAGGCTAAATTATGAAGGATCTTGAATGTCATGCTAATAACAGTTCCCACCTACTAATGTTTACTACATGCTCACTGAACATTGTGCTGAGCACTTCAGAAGGATCATATCCCTTAATCTTAGCAATCTTAAAAAGGTGGATATCAATTAGTCTCACTTTACAGATGAGAAATGTGAGATTCAGAAAAGTAAAGCTACATGTCCAAGGTCACACTGCTAGATTTGTTTTATTTTGCTTTTCTTTTCTTTCTTTTCTTTTTTTTTTTTTTTTTTTTTTTTTTTTTTTTTTTTTCTGCATATTAGGGGAGTGCACCTGTGTCATGCGATGCTCACTCTGTAAACCAGGCTGGCCTTGAGCTCACAAAGAGCCTGCTTCTGCCTCCCAAGTGCTAGGATTAAAGGCATGTGCCACCACGCCTGGCTATTTTGCTTTTTAAAAAAACAGATTCTGGGGCTGGAGAGATGGCTCAGCAGTTAAGAACACTGAATGTTCTTGCAGAGACCTGGGTTCAGATTCCAGCACCCACATGGCAGCTAACAACTGTCCTTAACTCCAGTTCTAGGGGATCCAATGCCCTCTTCTGACCTCTGGCGGGCATTGCACGACACAGGTGCACTTTCATATATACAGGCAATACATGCATACACATAAAATAAAAATAAAAATTTTTAAAAACCAGATTCTTACTATGTAGCCCATGCTAGACTCCAACTCAAGATCTTCCTACCTCAACCTCTCTCCCAAGTGCTGAGATTACAAGCCTGAGATACTGCACTAAGCTTTTTTATAGTTTCTTGGTTTTTGAGACAAGGGCTTACTCTGTAGCTGAGACTGGCCTGGAACTTGATATAGTAACCCAGACTGGCCATAAACTGTGATGCTCTTGCCTCAGCAGCCCCAGTGTTGGGAGTTACAGGTCATCTTCATCATGATCATCATGAGCAGCAGCAGCATCATTTTCCATTTTGCCTGCATATATGTAAGTTCATCCGTGTCATACAGTGCTCTCAGAGGCCTGAAGAGGGCATCAGATCCCCTGAAACTGGAGTTACAGGAGATTGCTAACCACCATGTGGGTGCTGGGAACCAAACCTGAATTTTCTTGCAAGAGCAACCAGTGATTTTAAGCACTGAACCATTTCTCCACCTCCTAAGGTTGTGGTTCTTAGCCACAATACTGTTCCTTGTAAGTGATGAGGAACCAGTAAAGGATCTCTGTTTTGTTTTGCTTTCTGCAGTACTAGGGGTAGAATCCAGGGGTTCATTCATGCTAAACAAGCACACATCCACGGAGCTATGTCCCCAGTGTTCTTTTTATTTTTCATTTTGAGACAGAATTCCACTAAGCTACCCAGGCAGGCCTTGAAACTCTGATCCTCCTGCCTCAGCCCTCATAGTAACTGAAAGTCCAGGCCTGAATGCCACTTTAGTTTTGAGGAGGGGAATGACAGTCTGGATTTTTAGAAACGTTCAGGCTAGCACAGTGAAAACGAGACTGGAGTTGAAGGAGACAACCTGATCCTCCAACAACCTGAAGAACAAAAATAAATTGGTTTATTTGGGCCAACTGTATTTTCTTAAATGCCCAGTAGGACCTCTTCAGAGGATGGTGTGCTAAGAATAGGAGGCAGGAATTGGCTAGGCAGTTAGGGTAAAAAGACTCCAAAGAATTGTAGCTGGTTTCTTGGCTAAAAGTCAAAGTGTCCTTGGGCCTCTTAGCAACAAAGTCTGTTCCAAAGGCCAAAAATGTCAAAAGTATTTGGGAACTCTTATCCCTAAAAGATTTTAGGGTTACCTCTTCAGAGGGAAGAATGTTAGAGTAGCAAAAAGCCCCATTTAAAAAAAAAGAGAAAGGAAGGAAGGAAAAGAAAATAAGAAAGAAAAGAAAGAAAAGAAAGAAAGAAAGAAAGAAAGAAAGAGAAAGAAAGAAAGAAAGAAAAAACATGAAGTCAGAAAAAAGTGATGGGGAGATATGGGTGGTGTTGGAGGGAAGGGAGTGATGTGGATTTCATCAAAACACCTTATAAGCATGTATGAAATTCTCAATAAATTTTTTTTTAAAGATTGGGATGTTTTGTATGAAATACACACAAAAAATAAAAAATTATAAAATGTATTTGTATTTTAAATATTATGTCAGCTATATATAACAATAAATACAGAATAAAGCATAAATATAATTTTTTTAATATTTTATTATTTTTATGGGTATAAAAATGTGGGCACTGGGAATCGAACCAAGGTCTTCCAGAGCAGACAGGGCTCTTAACTGCTGCTGAGCCATCTCTCTAGGGAGACTGACTTTTTTTTTTTTTTTTTGTCTTTTTGAGACAGGGTCTCTGTAGCCCCAGCCGGCCTGGAACTCACTATGTAGACCAAGCTGGCCTTGAACTCACAGAGATCCTCCTGCCCCTGCCTCCCGAGTGCTGGGGCCACCACGCCCGGCGAGACTGACTTCTTTAATAAAAAAAAAAAAATTCAGTGAGTTACTGTTCCCAGGCGCTACGCAAGCGCGACTGTCCCACAGAACGCTTAGAGGTGGGACTAGAAGCTGCTCGGCACTCTGCTGCTTTTCCCTGTAGGCGCCGGACTTCCGCTATTGGCGGCCGTCCGCAGGCGAGGGTATAGAGCAGAGCGCCGATCTCCGAGAACCGGAGGTGAGGGGCCGCTACTGGCGGCGCAGTTTCCGTTGGCGACATGAGTTTGGCTGGGGGCCGGGCCCCGCGGAAGACCGCTGGGAACCGGCTTTCTGGGCTCCTGGAGGCAGAGGAGGAAGATGAGTTCTACCAGACGACTTATGGAGGTTTCACAGAGGCAAGAGCCGGGCCCAGGAAGGGGGAGGGCAGGAAGCGGAGTCCTGAAGAGAGAAACCCGGACAAAGAAGCAGGGGGCGGGGAAGAGAGGAGCTCCGTAGTTGATGCTCCGGGCCAGGTGGCTGGCCGGGAGGAGCATTTGCAGTCCCAGAACCCGGAGTCTTTGTGGGGGTGGGGGAATCGGGGGTGCAGCATCTTCCCAGACCCACCCTCCCAGGTCCGGTAGGAAACCTACTGTGTAGTCAGTCTCCTTGCATATCATCCAGCCTCTGACGCCTACAGTACAAGGCACATAGGATCAGTTCCTTAGTGTTTACTTCTTGTCCTATTTTTGGATTATTTACCTGACACATAAAAGGGAACCGTTCCCGGGACTGGAGAGATGGGTCAGCGGTTAAGATCACTGACTGCTGTGGCAGACGACCCGGATTAGGTTTCCAGCACCCACAGATGGCTAACAATCGTCTGTTAACTCCAGTTCCAAGGGATTTGACGCCCTCTTCTGACCTCCGTGGGCACTGTATGACACCGGTGCACTTACATGCAGGCAATACACTCGTATACATAAAATAAAAGTAATCTTTTAAAAAGGAACCGTTCCCAAAAAAAAGAATAGAGAAACTTAGTCGAAGTGTAAATGTTTTCTTAGATAACCCTTTATTGACTATCCTAAAAGAGTCCACATTTATTTCCTCATAGAACATAACATATTTCAGCTTATAATTAAATTCAGTTTGCTTCTTTTCATTTTCTGGTTAGATTGTAAGATCTGTTGTAAGAGTTAGCTTTTTTTTTTTTTTTTTTTTTTTTTTTTTTTTTTTTTAAAAAAAAAAAAAAAAAGAGGACGATAAATCTTTCACTGTGATATATCAAAATAACCTGCCTCTGCCCCTCCGGAGATGGGATTAAAGGCGTGTGCCACCATGCCTGTCATAAAAGTATTTTTTAATAAGACATATGTATATTTTTTTAATTTTAAAAATACATAAAATATTTAAAAATAAATAATTTTAGCCAGGAGAAGTGGCCCACACCTTTAATTCCAGCACTCAGGAGACAAAAGCAGGCAGATCTCTGTAAATTCAATGCCAACCTGGTCTACACATCAAGTTCCAAACCGAAGTTACATGGTAAGACCTTGTCTCAATATAAAATAAAGTTTGGTTTCTCATCAAGAGGTCTAAGAAGAGGTATCAAAGTTCCACTAGGAAATTTGTGATTTGAAAAAAAAAAGATTAGGGGCTGGAGAGATGGCTCAGTGGTTAACAACACTGTTCTTGCAGAAAACCCAGGTTTAAATTCCAGCACCCAAATGGCAGCTAACACTGTCTGTAACTCTAGTTCCAGGGGATCCGATAGCCCCTTCTATCCTCCTTAGGCACTGCACAGCACGGGTGTACATACCTACATGCAGACAGTATACTCATACACATAAAATAAAAATAATAAGAGCTGGGTGTAGTGGCGCACGCCTTTAATCCCAGCACTCGGGAAGCAGAGGCAGGCATTGAACTCTGTGAGTTCAATGCCAGCCTGGTCTACATAGTGCGTTCCGGGACAGCTGGGGCTATAGGGAGACCCTGTCTCAGAAAGACTGAAAAATAAATAAGTAAAATATATATATAAAAAAAAAAAGATTAATCTGGATGTTGTAACACAAACCTTTAGTCCCAGCAGAAGCAGTCAGATCTCTGTGAGATCGAGACCAGTCTGGTCTACATAGCTAGTTCCAGGACAGTCAGGGCTATACAATGAGACTCTGTCTCAGAAAAAAAAAAGAGAGAGAGAGATTGAAGTCCAGCAGTCTTAACACTTGGGAGGCTGAGACAGAATCACCTCCAGTTCCAGGCTAGTATGGGCTGCATTTTAAGATCTAGGCTAGTTTGGGTTGTAGCATGAGACTGTCTTTTAAAACAAAAGTCTGTAATGAGAAAAGTCTTAAGAGGGTAGTGGCAGTAAAGAAACATGGACAACAACTGGGGGCATTTAGCTAATAGATAATTTGCTTAGCATCCTGAAGACCCTGCACTACCAAAAAAAACTGGAGAATACAGTTAAAGGGAAATTAATAAAACAGAGTCCACAAGTCTTGATGACTGACTATGAGTCACTGTGTACAGAGTTTTAATCAACTAGTTTAAAATAGATCTTTCTCATCACTCCTCCCAGGTTCATTTTCCTATTCCTGTCTTTTTATGAGTCATTATTTAATACGTACTCTTTGTGCTTCCAAAAAGGATTTAAGAAGGCTTGCAATATAAACAAATTAGGAGCAGTAAAAATAGAAAACAACCGAAACAAAATACATTGTGAAATTTTAGGGGTGAAGGGATGGCTCAGTGTTAAGAGCACTGTCTGGGTTCAGTTCCCAGCACCTACATGATGGCTAACAACCATATATAAACTCCAGTTCCAGGGGATCTGACACCCTCTTCTGAACTCAGGCATTGCACGACACAGTTGCACTTAAATACATATAGGGTGTATACTCACTCATACATATAATCATTTTTTTAAAAATAAATTTTAAATATTATTTTAAAAGGTCAGAAGTAATTGTACCAAGCCTGTGTTAAAATGGTAATGGCAGGGGCTGGAGAGATGGCTCAACTGTTAAGAGCATTGACTGCTCTTGTGGAGAACCTGAGTTCAATTCCCAGCACATACATGGTAGCTAACAACTCTCCCTAACTCCAGTTCCAGGGGATTCAATACCTTCTGAGCTCCACAGGCATTGCATGACATGGGTACACTTCCACACATGCAGGCAATATACTCATACACATAAAAAATAAAATATTTATGGGGCTGGAGAGGTGGCTCAGCAGTTAAGAACACCGAATGTTTTTGCAGAAGATCCAGGTTCAGATCCCAGCACCCACATAGCAGCTAACAACTGTCCGTAACTCCAGTTCTAGGGGATCCGACAGCTTCTGACCTCCACGGGCATTGCACAACATGGGTGCGCTTACCTACAAGCAGGCAATACAGGCATATACATAAAATAAAAATAATAAATTAAAAAAAAAATCTTGTGACTAAAGAGATGGCTCAGTGGTTAAGAGCAGGTGCTGCTCTTGCAGAGGACCCAGGTTCAGTTCCCGGCACCCACATGGTTCACAATGGCCTGTAACTCCAGTTCAAGGTAATCTAACTCCTTTTCCTGGCCTCCTTGGGTACAGGGCACACATGTGGTACACATGCATGCATACATGCAGATAAAACAGTTATCAAATAAAAAGTCAGACTTATTCAACATTAAATCTTTTTTATTTTGTCTTTTTGAGACAGGGTTTTCTTATAGCCCCAGCTGTCCTGGAACTCACTATGTAGACCAGGCTGGCCTTGAACTCACAGAGATCCACCTGCCTCTGCCTCCCGAGTGCTGGGATTAAAGGTGAGCGCCACCACACCCGGCCTAAATCTTTTTTTTTTTTTAATTATTTTTAATTTTTGTTTTTTAATGTGTTGCATGTGTTGCCTATATGTAGGTAAGTGTACCCATGTTGCGCAATGACCATGGAGGTCAGAAGAGACTGTCAGATCCCCTGGAACTGGAATTATGGACAGTTGTTAGCTACCATGTGGGTGCTGGGATTTGAACCCGGGTCTTCTGCAAGAACAGTCAGTGTTCTTAACCACTGAGCCATCTCTCTAGCCCCTCAACATTAAATCTTAAGGTGAATTTATCATTCCTTTTTTTTGTCTTTTTGAGTCAGGGTCTCCTATAGCCCCAGCTGTCCTGGAACTTACTATGTAGACCAGGCTGGCCTTGAACTCACAAAATCCCTGCCTCTGCCTCCCGAGTGCTGGGATTAAAGGCATGCACCGCCACACCCGGCAATCATTACATTTTTTAAGCAGGGATTTGATGTTAAATATTCTCTTGTCTATTAAGGACTTAAGAAGAGCTAGTGCAGTGGTAGTAAATCGGTAGTTTAGTGAAACCATTTAGATTGGGCACTAAACTAATAGGAACTTGATCTACTACCCTCTGGTGATACAACTTAATACCAGATTAGAGCTGAGTGGATTAATGTGTTCCAGTCTCTTTTATAAACTTCATTTTGGAGAAGTGGCAGTCATCGCTGCCAGGTTGAACTCTGGCTGGCTTGGTGTTTCAACCGCTTGTGCTACTTGCTTATTTTGGCAGTGTGTGTACCACAGTCCACTAGTCTGCATTATAGATTGAAGAGTGAGCTGTGTGCTTGAGGTGCTACTGAGGCCAGCTAACAAACACACACACACACACACACACACACACTGATTTTCTCCCTTTTTTCCAATGTATTTGCCATTCTAGCCTTAACCTGTACTACCTCAGGTTGTACTTCAGATTCTGTACTCTAGTCCATCTAACCTCCACAAATATTCTGCAATGCACATGAAGAATGGCATATATTTTTCTCAGTGACTGTCCATCAACAATGGTTATCATTGATGAGATAGGTAAGGAGATGAGGAGATTTGAGAATCACTGGCATAAAGGTTAGTAATAAGTTTTAGCTTGACATTTAAGTTTCTTCATATACAAAATGCACTGAATGCAACCTTCTTTTGGAAATTTTTTTTTTTTTTTAAACACAGGGTCTCCCTGGAGCCCCAGCTGGCCTAGAACTCACTGTGTAGACCAGGCTTGCCTAGATCTCACAGAGATCTTCCTGCCTCTGCTTCCTAAGTGCTGGTACTAAAGGTGTATGCTACCATGCCAGACTTTTTTCTTTTGAAATCTTACAGGCCTACAAGACAGGCAGTGTTGGAAGGAGGCTGTGCTGGAGCCAGAGCAGTCTGCTAAACAAAACTTTTTTTTTTTTAGTTTATTTTTGCCATTTATTTATTGGGGGGTGGAACATACGCCATGCCATGCATGTGGAAGTCAGAGGACAACTTGTGGGAGTTGATTCTCTCCTTCTACCATATGAGTTCCCGGATGAGGTTGTCAGACTTGCCAGCAAGCTTTTTTACTTGTTGAACCATCATTGACAGGGAAAAGCCGGGAAAAAGACTGCTTTAATTGGGTCTAAATCCTTATTCCATAAATATACTGTATACATGTCTGCTTTTCCACCTATCTGTGATTCCTCCTTGGATATCTAAATTCTACAAGTATGTTAAGCAGACTCTTAATTGCTGAGGTTCAGGTCTTCTTTATCTTTCAAAGTATAATGTAGGTTTAACAAATTGAAGCGAGCCCAAATCTAGCCCACTACTTTTTTTAATCTGACTATGGAGACTTTCCCAGCTGATGGTGCATGCCTGTAATCCCAGCACTTGGGAGGCAAAGTTCAAGGCCAAGGCCAGCTTGGTCTACATAGTGAGTGAGTTCCAGGCCAGCTGGGGCTATAGGGAAACCCTGTCTCAAAAAGATCAAAATCAAACAAACGAAAAAGCAAAACGGGGCTGGAGAGACAGCTCAGCAATTAAGAGTCTGCTCTTGCAGAGGATCCGGGTTTGGTTCTCATCACTCACGCACGTGATGCCCTTTTATGGCCTCTATGGGCATTGTGTGTCACATGCACTCACATGCATGCAGACAAAACACTCATAAAAATAAATTTCAAGAAAAGTTTAAGACAAAAATGCCCAACTTTTGGCTTTTTGTAAAGGAATAAGGTCTGAAGTTTAGAACTCTTGAATCACCAGGGTTTTTTTTGTTTTTGTTTTGTCTTTTTGAGACAGGTTCTCCCTGTAGCCCCAGCTGGCCTGGAACTCACTATTGTAGACCAGGCTGGCCTCGATGTCAGACATCCACCTGCCTCTGCCTCCAGAGTTCTGGGATTAATGGCGTGAGCCACCAAACCCAGCTCTATAAGTTTTTTTTTTAAATAGTGGTCAGGATGGAACCGAGGGCCTAGTACTTGCTAAGCAAGCACTCTACTACTGAGCTATATCACCAGCCAAAGGTATAGCCCAGGCTGTTCTCAATTCAGAATTCTCCTACCTCTGTCTGCTGAGTACTGAGATTGCAGGTATGCACCACCATGCCAGGCTCCTCCTGTAACCTTTCACAGCCAAATGGAACTTTATAGGTTGCCTTGTATTAAAACTTACTATCTGTTGCCTGTGCTGTCCTCAGCCTCACTGTGTGTCCAAGGCTGCCTTCAAAATCATAGCAGTCTTTCTGCCTAGGCCCTCTGAATGCTGGGATTACAGGCATGAGCCACCCTGCCTGACTAAAATGTCTTTTCATAACAGTGTCCTGTCTTTTTCCTAGACTGGGAGACCCCTGAAGTGAGGCCAAACCATGTTCTTTGATTCTCTAACAGTTAACAGAGTTCTGTAGATGACATAGATCTGTTCAGATTGGAAGGTTGTACTGAAGCCAAGGGCCATCAGCTGGAAAGGCTTTGTCTGTGGAAAGTGAAGGGCTAAGTAGGGAAGGGAATTTGGGCAGCCCTTGCAGGAAAGAGAATGAATTTAGTTCCATCTCAAGGAAGAACTCCCTTGCCAGCCAGTTTTCCTTTCCTTCTGTCCTCAGGAATCTGGAGATGATGAGTATCAAGGAGATCAGTCAGATACTGAGGATGAGGTAGACTCCGACTTTGACATCGATGAAGGAGATGAACCATCCAGTGATGGAGAAGCAGAAGAGCCAAGAAGGAAGCGCCGAGTGGTCACCAAAGCTTATAAGGTACAGGAGGAATTCTGATTTTCTTGGACTTTCTTAATTGTGTTTTCCCTGAATCAAATGTTAACTTTCCTGTAATGATATCCTCTTCCCTTATCTTTTCTGTTTTCTGGTGTCTGATTTTAATTTGTCCTTAGGAGCCTCTAAAGAGCTTGAGGCCTCGAAAGGTCAGCACCCCAGCAAGTAGCTCTCAGAAGACCCGAGAAGAGAAAGCATTGCTTCCATTAGAGCTACAAGATGATGGCTCTGACAGTAAGTGCAGAAGTTTGAGTCTACTGAGAAAGTTTAAATGTGGTAATGTTTTTTTGGGGGGGGGTGTCTTTTTTTTAATTATTTATTATTTTTATTTTATGTGTATGCGTGTATTGCCTGCATGCATGGAAGTGCACTCGTGTTGTGCAATGCCCGCGGAGGTCAGAAGAACTGGAGTTAAGGACAGGTAGCTGCCATGTGGGTGCCAGGATCCGAACCCAGGTCTTCTACAAGAATATTCAGTGTTCTTAACCGCTGAGCCATCTCTCCAGCCCATGTTCTTTTTGGGGTTTTTTTTGTCCTTTTGAGACAGGGTCTCCCAGCTGATCTGGAACTCATTATGTAGACCAGGCTGGCCTCGTTTTCAGGCTGCCACTGGCTCCCCAGTGCTGGGATTAAAGGTGTGCACTACATACCTGTCTGATAATGAATGCTTTTTTTTTTTTTTGGTCTTTTTGAAACAGGGTCTCCCTGTAGCCCCAGCTGTCCTGGAACTCACTGTGTAGACTAGGCTGGCCTTGAATTCACAGAGATCCGCCTGCCTCTGCCTCCCAAGTGCTAGGATTAAAGACGTGCACCACCACGCCCAGCTCAGGAGCATTTTTAACCACTCCAGCCCAATAAAATCCTTATTCTTCAGAAGTAAACCTGGCCCTGATGGTTCAGGCCTGTATACCACCTACTCAAAAGGGTGAGGCAGGAAGATCTCAAGTTCAAGCCCTGCCTGGGCTACAGATTGAGTTCAAGCCAGCCAGGGCAAGTTGGTGAGATTCTGTCTTAGCATAAAAAATAGGCAGACTATAGGAGGGCATGATGACACACACCTTTAATCCCAGTGCTCAGAAAGCAGAGGCAGGAGTTCTTCGAGATTGAAGCCAGCCCTATATATGTGAGGGCCGATAAAATAACTTAGTGGGCAAAGGTGGTTGTTGCCAAGTCTGACAACCTTGTGGCTGGAGAGAAGGCTCAGTGGTTAAGAGCACTGGCTGCTCTTGCAGAAGGACCCAAGTTTGATTCCCAGCACCCACATAGTGGCTAACAACCATCTGCAATTCCAGTTTCAGGGGATCCAATGCCCTCTTCTGACCTCCTGTGGACATTGCTCAATATGGGTGCACATACATACATGCAGGCAATATTCTTATATACAATTTTTTAAAACCCTGATGACCTGAGTTTGAGTCTCTAGGACTTACATGATTGAAGGAGAGAGTCAGATCCCCAAAATTGTCCTCTGACTGCCACATGTGCCCCCCCCCAATAGATTAATGTAATAAAAAATTTTTATTAGCCCGGGCATGGTGCACATGCCTTTAATCCCAGCACTCGGGAGGCAGAGTCAGGAGAATCTCCATGAGTTTGAGGCCAGTCTGGTCTATATAGTGAGTTCCAAGTCAGGTGATGCTGCATGGAGACCCTCAAAAGGGTCTCAAAAGGACAAAAAAAAATTTCTTTTTTTTTTTTTTTTTTTAATTTTACGTGTATTCGTGTATTACCTGTGTGTAGATAAGTGTACCTGTGTCGTGCAATGCCTGCAGAAGACAGAAGAGGCTGCCGGGTCTCCTGGAACTGGAGTTACAGACAGTTGTTTGCTGCCATGTGGGTGCTGGGATTCGAACCCCGGTCTTCTGCAAGAACAGTCAGTATTCTTAACCGCTGAGCCATCTCTCCAACCCCCCCAATTTTTTTTTTTTAATTTTATGTGTATGAGTGTATTGCCTGTATGTATGTAAGTACACCACATGCATGTCATGCCCATGAAGGCCAGAAGAGAGCATTGGATTCCCCTGGAACTGCAGTTACCTACTTCTGTTGGCTGCCATGTGGGTGCTGAGAACTGAACGTGGGTCCTCTGCAAGAATAGCCAGTGTTCTTAACAACTGAGCCATCTCTCCAGCCCCCATAATAACAATTTTTAAATAATAAAAATAAAGCATATGAAAAGGGTTAATGATGAAGCTCAGTGGTACAGTGCTTGCTTAGTATGTACAAGGCCCTTGGTTTAATCCCCAGTACCCAAAAAAAAGGAAAAAGAAGAAATTAAAATAGACACTAAAGTATTTAGGAGAAAAGGCTCTGATATTGAGATATATATATAAAATTTAACTCCAAAGATATTAAAAAAGAATACATAAGGGCTAGAGAGATGGCTCACTGCTTAACAGCACTGGCTGTTCTCAGCACCCACATGGCAGCTAACAGTAGTAGGTAACTCCAGTTCCAGGGCATCCAACACCCTCTTCTGGCCTTCGTGGGCATTGCATGTATGTGGTGTACTTAAATACATGCAGGCAATACACTTATAACACATATAATAAAAATACATTTTAAAAATTAAAAGAACAGCCAGGCGTGGTGGCGCATGCCTTTAATCCTAGCACCCGATCTCTGTGAGTTTGAGCCCAGCCTGGTCTACGTAGTGAGTTCTAGGCCAGCTGGGGCTACAGGGAGACTCTGTCTCAACAAAAAAAAAAAAAAAAAAAAAAGAAAAAAGAAAAGAACAAAAGAGTACACAGAATGAAATGGTCGGAATAGCCCGAGTAGACATTATTGGAGGCTACACGGGCACTATTTGTACTATTAAAAACTTTTTTGTAAGCTTGAAATTTTTTACAAATAAAAAAATTTAAAGAAAATAGAAATTAATTCAAAGACTGTTCCCCTCTCCTTCTTTGCAGGTCGGAAGTCCATGCGTCAGTCTACAGCTGAGCACACAAGGCAGACCTTCCTTCGGGTTCAGGAAAGGCAAGGACAGTCCAGGAGGCGAAAGGGGCCCCACTGTGAACGCCCACTAACCCAGGAAGAACTGCTCAAGGAGGCTAAGATCACCGAAGAGCTCAACTTGCGTTCACTGGGTCAGTAGAGATGCTGAGGGGCATGAGGAAGACAGTAAAATCTGAGAACTGGGGAAATGGCGATTTGGGGCAAAAGAATTAGGATGTTCAATTTATAGTCCCGTACCCAAGAGTTTATGGCCAGCCTGGCCTATATATCAAGTTCCTGTCCATCCTGGACTACTTTTGAGAGCCTATCTTAAACACAAACAAAAACACAACAAAAACCAGCCAGGCATAGTGGTGCTCAACTTTGATCCCAGCACTTGAAGGTGGATCTATCTGAGTTCAAGGCCAGCCTAATCTATACAAGTTCCAGAATAGCCAGGGCTACATAGTGGGACCCAGTTTCAAACACACATACACACACACACACACACACACACACACACACAGAAGAAATGAGGTTAGGCATGGTGGTGCATGTCTTTAATCCCAGCACTCAGAAGGCACAGGCAGGTAGATCTCTGAGTTCAAGGCTAGCTTGGTCTACAGAGCAAGTTCCAGGGCTACATGCTGAGACGCTGTCTAAAACGAAGAAATAGAGTAGGTGATAAGAGCAAGGGCCAGACAATTAAGAGTACTCTGAAGAATAAGCCATATTGAGGTACTTTGTTATAAAACAGCAATTGTAGTTGGGCATGGTGGTGCTTGCCTGCAATCCCAGTACTCAGGAAGCCAGCCTGGGCTATATAGCAAGTTCAAAGGCAACCCTGGACTACATAGTGAGACTTTATTTCAAAAAACAACACAGGGCTAGAGAGATGGCTCAGTGGTTAAGAACACTGGTTGTTCTTGAAGAAGACCCGGGTTCAAATCCCAGCACCCACATGGCAGCTAACAACTGTCTGTAACCAGTTCCAGGGGATCCAACGGCCTCTTCTGTCCTCGTGGGCATTGCACGACACAGGTACACTTACCTACATGCAGGCATAACACTCATACACATAAAATATTTTATTATTTTTATTTTATGTGTATGAGTGTTATGCCTGTATGTATGAAAGTGCACCCGTGTTGTGCAGTGCCTGCGGAGGACAGAAGATGTTGTCGGATCCCCTGGAACTGGAGTTACGGACTGTTTGTAGCTGCCATGTGGGCGCTGGGTATTGAACCCGGGTCTTCTGCAAGAACAACCAGTGTTCTTAACCACTGAGCCATCTCTCCAGCCCAAATAAAATATTTTTTTAAAAAAAACAAAACAGGTTTTGGAGTGATGGCTCAGCAGTTAAGACCACTGACTGCTCTTGCCAAGGATCTGGGTTTGGTTTCCAGCACCCACGTGCAGTTAATAACCATCTATAATTCAGTTCTATCGAAACCAACACCCTCTTCTGGCCGCAGGTGTACTTACATGCAGCAAAACACTCATACAAATGAATGAATGAATGAATGAATGAATGAATGAATGAATGAATGAATGAATGAATGAATGAATGAATGAATGAATGAATGAATGAATGAATGAATGAATGAATGAATGAATGAATGAATGAATGAATGAATGAATGAATGAATGAATGAATGAATGAATGAATGAATGAATGAATGAATGAATGAATGAATGAATGAATGAATGAATGAATGAATGAATGAATGAATGAATGAATGAATGAATGAATGAATGAATGAATGAATGAATGAATGAATGAATGAATGAATGAATGAATGAATGAATGAATGAATGAATGAATGAGTGAGTGGCTGGGCACAGTAGTGAACACCTTTAATC